CCGAATACCTCAAGCGTGAGACGGAAATGTTACGCCCCTCACCATACTGTGATGGCGTGTCCCAGCCGGAGCGACGACACAAAAACATTAAAACCCATTACAAATGAGGCATTTGTTGCATCCAGTGGGGACATAATTACTGATTATAATGACTTATACTGTCTTTTTACGCGTTGCATTGCATTGCATCGTGCCGTGTAAACATAAAACGTCTCGGTTACGTATGGTAACCCTCGTTCCCTGAAGGAGGGAACGGAGACGTCACGTCGGATGACCGACGAAATTGGGATCTCGCTTAGAGGGACCAATCTACTTCGAGTGTAAACTAAACAAGCCAATGCTAATTGTGATGCGATTATTGCATCCAGCTGCTGCTGATCATAGCGTGAGTATAAGTAGGCAGCAGATGCAGCGCATATTCAGGTTTTCGCTGAGGAGCCGAGCCGGTGACCCGGCCGCTCAGCGGTGGTACAGGAGCTATGGCGATGGGACGGATGACCGACAAAATTGGGATCCTACCAAAGGGCCACAGCTACTGCCCCTTCCAGTGTCCTGTGGAAGCCACCTTCCTCTGCTTTGAGACGGCATTCCCCTTCTGCCGGCCTCCATGACAGACAAAGAGCTGGTCTGAGGTCCTGAAGCTTTGCGTCCGGTCAACGTAGCCCCTTAAGGCTCGGACGGGACGGAGCAAAGCCAGGGCTGGGTCTGCCTCCTCCGAGGGCAGTGCTTGGAGGTTCACCACCTGATCCCTGAAGGGAGTAGCTGGAACCTTGGGCACATAGCCGGGCCGGTGCCTCAGGGTCACCTGGGAATCAGCCAGCCCGAGCTCTAGGCATGAATCGTTGACCGAAAATACATGTAGGTCCCCTACCCTCTTGATTATTCGATGAAGGAGCGTCCGGCGGACTTGTGGCAAGCACATGTGATGACCCCGGGCTGGACTCCGCTTTGTCCACGGTGAAAGTTGATGTATTTCCTCAGCGACCAGCACGGATCAGCTCTAGGCATGACGAAGCGGATATCGTCCTCTTTTGGAAGACCAAACTAAGTAGTTTCGCTTTCGCAACAAAAAACACAGCGTCTTCAGGACATGGCGGCAGCAGCAACAATACTACAGCAAGACTAAAAGTTACGCCTTCTTTCTTTGCGTGAACATTAGGGCGGCGTTATGCAAATCCAAATCGGCGTTTTGCATAGTGAGGTAGACATGTGGGGGCGTGTTCGAACGAGCCGTTTTAGGTAGGTGTGGCTGACTCTTAACTTTTATAAAGAATATCTCTTTGGATTTGAGACTTTAGTCTTTGCAACTTTACAGATCTTCTTTATGCACCAAGAGCTTGTAACACTCCAAAGAGAAAGGAAAAAATTAAATCGCTTCATATGACCCCTTTAAGTTTACTTTTTTTTTTGGTTGGTTTTTTTCACTTAAGCAATAATCTGGCAAGTGTTTAAAAATACCAAACTTAAGTCTGTGCTCCAAAGCATTCACGTTTTACATCATTTTAATTGGAAATAAAATTATATGCTAAAGTGGTTATCAGGTAATAAATAGATCATAACTATTTAATAAATATAATTTAGTACCGTAAATAACCTAAAAATACAAAATATAGATTTAAAAAAACATTATTGAACTAAAATGTAGTACATTCTTTTAATAGAAATATCAATCAATCAATCAATCAATTTTTACCACCACACAAGCAGCACCAGAGTTTTCATGGTCTGGTTGTGGTCTGACTGTTGCCTTCTGCCTTATTACACATCTTCTGAGAGAGTACAGAATTTGGATCCAAAAACAAGCAAAGAAGAAACAGAAACAAGCAATAGAAGCATTGATTTAAACTTACGCGATCATCAAACATTCAACAGCATAGAAATCAAAACTGCAGAAGCAGAACGATGCACACCACATCGCAACAGACAAGCCAAAAGAGTAAGTCATTAACTATAAAAATAAAGAAATAAATAAACAAACACAATCTGACTTATTAACTTTTCAAAAAAAAAATATTATTATTGAAGCTATTGTGTAATCATTTACAATACAGACTGAACAAAAATGCGGAAATATACAAAATTTTGCTTGCAACTGTATGTCAGATAAATGTTTATTCCTTTATTATAGAATGTACTTTGCAAAAATATGTACTTGTCAAATTTGGAGCATATATTTGTACCCGGAACTATATGATTCAGTTACTGATGTAGATAAAATTATATTGTTCATTTATGGAGATCTTCTCCAGACATTTCCACAGACCATAATAGCAAGTAGTAGTCAAAATATCATCACCTTCCTTCAGAAGCTGGCATTGCTTGTCAAGCACATACACAACTTTCGGTAACACTTTACTTGAAGAGGTGTGCATAAGACTGACATAGCACCTTCATAATCATGGCATGACACATGTCATGAATATGAAGGAGGTTTTATGCATGTTTATGACAACTGTCATTAAGTGTCATTCGCTCAGTTATGTCATTTTTAATGCAAATATGACATTATTTGACCTAACCCTACCCCTACCCTTACCCCTAACCATAGCCCATAACAAAGACATCTCAAACAATGTCATCTTTGCATTAAAAATTACATAACTGAGTGAATGACACTTAATGACAGTTGTCATAAACATGCATAAAAAACCTTCATATTCATGACATGTGTCATGTCATGATTATGTAGGTGTCATGTCATGATTATGAAGGTGTCATGTCAGTCTTATGCACACCCCTTCAAGTAAAGTGTAACCCAACTTTCTACAACAAAGGGCTGTTTTCAGCTCTTTCCCAATTAGTCTTTCGTTAATTGGATTTGAGGAGTTGCTGAATAAAAACATACATAAAATTTAATTTATGGCTAACATAATCTGTTTTTGTTGGTCCTCCTTTTTTATTTTGTATTTAATGTATCTTGTTTTAAGACATTTCAAACATGATTTGTTTCATTGTTCTGAAAGAGAGAATGGTACTCGGCAGAACTGGCCTAAAGCTTTAGCACATTGTCTGATGCTATCTGTAATGTGAATCTTCATGTTGTTACTTGATGGTGATTATATTGCTTGTGCCATGACAGACTGGAAGGGAGTTTATGTTTTTGATCAGGAGTTCAAGGTCATGGTGTAAACCTACTGCAGAGATGCCAAATGAGACAGAGCTACGGGATTTGATATGCCAATATATTCATCAATCATGGTTAAATATCATGTACTATGAGCTTTTCCTGTTTTCTTAATGCCATAATGTAATAGATATTATTTGTTCACTCTTCCTCCCAAAATGTTAGAGGGAAAAAGGATTTCCTTCCCCGATTATTATATATGTATTCATTATAAATCATTTAAAGGGATAGATCAGCATTTACTCATCTTCATGTCATTCCAAACCAGCAAGACTTTCGTTCTTCTGCAAAACAAAAAATAAGATATTTAGAATATTTTCCAGCACTGCCGAGGCAACGGTTTTTTTTTGTTTTTTTTGCAGAAACGAACAAACAAATCAATCAATCAATTTGAAGATTGAATTTCACTGATGCATTTTACAAATACTGTATGTTGTCCATATGCTTGTTGGGGGTATTTCTAAAAAAAAAAACCCACATAAATATTTCTCTGAATTTTTTTTCAAACAAAATAAATTCACTTTACTTGTGTAAACATTTACTTTTACATGAAAAAATATACTTTTTTTGTGCTGCAATGGTTTGTCAATAGGCATATATATTCATGTTTATCAAAAAAATTCAGTTCCCAAAATGTCTGAGGTATGGGGAAAAAGCAAGGTTTTAAAGCATTTCCAAAGTTTTGTTCCCTTAATAAATAATTATGCTGACTCGAATGTATTATGAGGTAAATGTAAATTTAAAGTCTAAGTACAATTAACTGGAAATGACTGGAAACTATTTTGCTGTGTTTAATGCGGTTTTGATATTTACAGTTTTACTGTGTATGTCCAATATGTTCTGCTACAATGGGACAGGAAATTCAAGTGTAAGGGAGTTCCCTTTCAAACAGTCTCTCCCATTGTGTAATCACTTCCTGACACCCTTTTCCTGTTGCTACAGATGCAAAAAAAAATAATTCCTGACTACTTCAGAAGAGACAAAACGAGCAACAAGGGTAAGTAAAACAGCATGATTCTGAATTCAACATTAAAAGTAAAAAACAAAACAAAAAAACAATGGCAGTGATTTTTTTTATCAAATTTAGTAGTCAACACTGATGCAAATGTAATTGCAGTGCGTCTTTTTAATATGAATATTATTGTTTTGAAAATGTATGCCATTTAAACAAATGATTAACTTTTTTTTCCCTTTTTGTTTTACAAAAGCATAGCTTATGTTCAAATTGTTGATGTTAAAAATTAAATATCATTATTATGTTTGCTATGATGGGGATGCGTTTAGTTCACTTCTATACAGTAGGAAAGAAATATGATAATGCACTCCAAAATAAATAAATAAATAAAGCCTGTAAAATTAAAAATAAAATTATATCAAACAGAATTTAATCATCTTTACATATTATTCATTATGAATTAAGAATTTTAAATGAGTAAAATAAAAAAAAAATCCTGTATTTAAAAAAAACAATGCCTGAAAGATGTAACATTTAGTGACTTGAGACTAGACTATATACACAGACCTCAGACTTGACTCACACTTCAAATGAAATATTTGTGACAAAATTAACTATATATCATAAAATATCATAAAATTGCATTGCCACAAAACTGAACTGAATCTGCCTCCTCCCGGATGAGTTTGTGGATATTATTGAAGATTTATTACAGGGATATGATCAACATTTAACTCTTTCTCTCTCTTTTTTTGTGACCAGAACAAAGACATTCCAAACCAGAGAAACTAAAAAAATCATTACTGTGCTGTGTAGAGATCTCCAAAGATGCCCTTTCCACAGTTTTTAAGCCTTTTTGGGGGCCAATTGACCAAAATTAGTATGGTAACTTCAGTTCCACTGAGCATTATGTTAGTGGCTTTGCAGGCGATGACTGATGTAAAATTTTCATGTCCGTGCATTTATGAGTGGAATATAACTATAACAATTTTAATCTTCGCAACTCCTGCTATTGTTGCGTTTGTTATAATGATATTAGTATTAAGGCCTTGGACATATAAACGTGAATGTCAACGGAATAAAGGAGCACCTCAAGGAGGAGACAACCGAAGAGCATCTCAAGGAGGAGACAACGGAGGAGCACCTCAAGGAGGAGACAACGGAGGAGCACCTCAAGGAGGAGACAACCGAAGAGCATCTCAAAGAGAAGGCAAGAAAGAAGCATCTCAGTCTGAAATAGATGAGCTTAATGTAAATTTGAGTTGTGAAAAAGCTGTTTTAGCTTGTTTAGTTCCGAGTCTTGTGTGGATCTGTTTATGTTTCATTGATGGTGATTATCTCGCATGTGGAACCACATACTGGAAAGGACACTATGCCTGTGATAAAGAACTGCATACAAATTGTTTGAATTGGTGCAAACCCAACGATCTGAGCCAAGGAAAAAAAGACACTGAATATGATGAATATGAAAAAATACGAAATGTGATTGCCCTATCAAAAGTAAATATCATAGAATTTTTACCCAAATTTATTTTTAATATTCTACATATTTTTCTGAACTTCCTAAAGAAAGCTAAATAGTAATTATATACTATCTATACACCTCAGTATTGCTATAAATTAACAGGATGCAGTAATAACATAGAGTGTAAATGATTTTATTAAAATTATTAAGTAGACTCTGCCTTATTGGTACAACAAAACCCTCCCATAGCCTACCTACCCCTAAACCTACCCAATTATACATCATTATTAAACACTCGTTAGGCAATTGATTTCCACTTTTCCGATGTGATATGTGATGAAAAAAGAAAGAAGAGCAAGTTCGGCAAAATGCAAATTCGAACTCTTGTCGACCGTATATACCGTATACCACTACAGATGCTGATTAACACTGTCCAACAAGATTAAATGAACATGACACCAGTGTGTTTATGCTCAGCATTATTTCGACTTTATTCTCGTAATTTAATTATTTAATTCTCAACATTTTATTTAGACATTTTTCTTGAAATTTAACAAGTTTAATCTCACATTTTTATAATTTTTGTTTTTATTGCTTGGCCCTAATGCTCTTCCGTATAGCAGTCTGGGGATGCTATCGACTTTCTCAATCGTAAAATCCTTCCAGGGCACTGAAACATTTGCACAATGCACCATGAAAACCAAAATGCAAACCATTATTTAATTACATTTCATCACTAGATAGGTAATGAAAATAATATAGCTAACATTTATTGTTTATTTACAGCTAAAATGTTCCATATGTAACAAGCAAAGTATTTATCATAATGTTTTTTAAATAAAATAAACAAATAATGTCAGAAATACATCAGTTCAGCTATTGTTCATAAATAGTACTAGTACTGATGTTGTACAATGAGGACTTTGTAGTATCGCTGGAAATATAATTTTCAGTGTCCCAGATGTGTAGTGAGCCATGGTCCTTACTGTCCTTTACAGTGCCCGAATTTGTGTACACAATATACTGATTCACAACCTAGCAAGCCAGGGAGCTGATTGAGACGCACCTATATTCTTTGCGCCAACTGATGATGAGATTGGCAGACAACACAATAGCTAAAATTGCAAATTTCTCTGTAATTTAACGTTGGGAACATTTGGGATAATATGTACACAAGTCATCAAAATATATAACATTGTTCAAGTGTTTTTTGTATATTTTAATGCAAAAAATCATACATATTGTACCTTTGACCCTCTGGGGTCCAAAGGTGTTTTGGGGCCCTGGAGAAGTTTTGACATGCCCTGACATTTGTGCTTTTTCAGTTGCTTATAAACATTTTAATGTCTAAAGTTTGATAACACTGTAATCAGCACAAACTGGGCTACAATAATATTTGAGCAGCATGTATGTACATGATTGTGTTTTTGAGAAAACGTTTATGCGTGCGTTGTAAGGGTGTAACGATTCACTAATTGACATAATTTATACAGTGCAGAAACTATAAAGTATATTTTCTACCTAATTCTGTGCAGAAAATTGAAATAATTGTTTGTAGTATATAAAACAATCATAAAATTAGCATTAGGAAAAAAAAAACTAGATTGAAAATGATTGATTATTGTCCAGCAGTATATTTGATTTCTTATTGCAAATTCAAAGTAAAAGATAAGAAAATAATTCCTTGTAAAAATAATAATAATAATAATAATAATAATACATACATACATACATAGGCCTACATAAACTTATTGTATTTGACATTTCGGTCAGTTCCGAAATGATGGCTACACCCCTGGTGTGACAAAATGTTAGCCTATACATAATACATTTAAAGCTCTTTTTAAAAATCTTGGCTTACATACATTTCTACATATGCCATGTCATGCCATAGCATCATTAAACTAGCATCTAACAATGGACAAAAGTGTTGTTGTTTTTTCTCTGACCTGTGGTTCTCTAACCATAAAGGCTGCTGTGTAATTTGTCCCCTGACTAAGCATTTAAATAATTTAGAGGAAGCATTTAAATAATCCTGTGAATGCACTTAATGAATGCAGAATTGAATCGTTAATCAAATAGAATCGAATCGAGTTTAACTGTGAATCGAATTGAATTGAATTGAATCGTTCTGAATTTGCAAAAATCGTTCTTCAATCGAATTGAAAACCTATGAATCGTGAATCGATTCGATTCGCTGTCTACCCAAAGATGAAAGATCCACAGCCCTAGTGCTTAGTGAGAAACTGAAATTTTAAAGTCACTGGAATAAGGCCATAAAACACATACAGAACATTTGTTCACAAGACTTTTGAGATCTGGATATTGAAGTCTAGAGTTTTTACTTCAAAATGATGTGAAAACCATCTTGTTTACTCGCTCACAGAAAACAATATATTGATTTACATTTTCTAAGATACTTTTTGTGTAGAAAAGGTATATGCGAGTGGGCGTGAATGATCATGCATAATGCTGTGATTCACACCTGAGAAGACAAAAGCCCGCATAATGAGCTGCATAATGAGCCTTTCAGTCAGTTTTGCGACAGAAAGAATTGCTACAAGAAAGAATGTGAGGAAAAAGAAATGTGTATATATATTTTTTTGTTTGTAGTTTATTTAGAATATATATAACTATCACATAAAATACCTTGAGATTCACTTGTGAGTGCAGTTAAACAGTTTATTGGGGGGAAAAAACATGCTAACAAATGCTAGCTTGGTTAATGCACTTAAAGAATGCAGAATCGAATCATTAATCAAATCTAATCGTATTGAATCATTCTGAATTTGCAAAAATCGTTCTTGAATCGAATTGAAAACCTATGAATCGTGAATCGATTCGATTCGCTGTCTACCCAAAGATGAAAGATCCACAGCCCTAGTGCTTAGTGAGAAACTGAAATTTTAAAGTCACTGGAATAAGGCCATAAAACACATACAGAACATTTGTTCACAAGACTTTTGAGATCTGGATATTGAAGTCTAGAGTTTTTACTTCAAAATGATGTGAAAACCATCTTGTTTACTCGCTCACAGAAAACAATATATTGATTTACATTTTCTAAGATACTTTTTGTGTAGAAAAGGTATATGCGAGTGGGCGTGAATGATCATGCATAATGCTGTGATTCACACCTGAGAAGACAAAAGCCCGCATAATGAGCTGCATAATGAGCCTTTCAGTCAGTTTTGCGACAGAAAGAATTGCTACAAGAAAGAATGTGAGGAAAAAGAAATGTGTATATATATTTTTTTGTTTGTAGTTTATTTAGAATATATATAACTATCACATAAAATACCTTGAGATTCACTTGTGAGTGCAGTTAAACAGTTTATTGGGGGGAAAAAACATGCTAACAAATGCTAGCTTGGTAAATTTCTTGCCAATCAAGTATTCACTATCACTACTTTCTATAATTAAGGTAGTTGGTACATTATCAGTGTAATGAGGCCAGCTGGTAGGTTCAGCTATTGTTCATAAATAGTACTAGTACTGATGTTGTACAATGAGGACTTTGTAGTATCGCTGGAAATATAATTTTCAGTGTCCCAGATGTGTAGTGAGCCATGGTCCTTACTGTCCTTTACAGTGCCCGAATTTGTGTACACAATATACTGATTCACAACCTAGCAAGCCAGGGAGCTGATTGAGACGCACCTATATTCTTTGCGCCAACTGATGATGAGATTGGCAGACAACACAATAGCTAAAATTGCAAATTTCTCTGTAATTTAACGTTGGGAACATTTGGGATAATATGTACACAAGTCATCAAAATATATAACATTGTTCAAGTGTTTTTTGTATATTTTAATGCAAAAAATCATACATATTGTACCTTTGACCCTCTGGGGTCCAAAGGTGTTTTGGGGCCCTGGAGAAGTTTTGACATGCCCTGACATTTGTGCTTTTTCAGTTGCTTATAAACATTTTAATGTCTAAAGTTTGATAACACTGTAATCAGCACAAACTGGGCTACAATAATATTTGAGCAGCATGTATGTACATGATTGTGTTTTTGAGAAAACGTTTATGCGTGCGTTGTAAGGGTGTAACGATTCACTAATTGACATAATTTATACAGTGCAGAAACTATAAAGTATATTTTCTACCTAATTCTGTGCAGAAAATTGAAATAATTGTTTGTAGTATATAAAACAATCATAAAATTAGCATTAGGAAAAAAAAAACTAGATTGAAAATGATTGATTATTGTCCAGCAGTATATTTGATTTCTTATTGCAAATTCAAAGTAAAAGATAAGAAAATAATTCCTTGTAAAAATAATAATAATAATAATAATAATACATACATACATACATAGGCCTACATAAACTTATTGTATTTGACATTTCGGTCAGTTCCGAAATGATGGCTACACCCCTGGTGTGACAAAATGTTAGCCTATACATAATACATTTAAAGCTCTTTTTAAAAATCTTGGCTTACATACATTTCTACATATGCCATGTCATGCCATAGCATCATTAAACTAGCATCTAACAATGGACAAAAGTGTTGTTGTTTTTTCTCTGACCTGTGGTTCTCTAACCATAAAGGCTGCTGTGTAATTTGTCCCCTGACTAAGCATTTAAATAATTTAGAGGAAGCATTTAAATAATCCTGTGAATGCACTTAATGAATGCAGAATTGAATCGTTAATCAAATAGAATCGAATCGAGTTTAACTGTGAATCGAATTGAATTGAATTGAATCGTTCTGAATTTGCAAAAATCGTTCTTCAATCGAATTGAAAACCTATGAATCGTGAATCGATTCGATTCGCTGTCTACCCAAAGATGAAAGATCCACAGCCCTAGTGCTTAGTGAGAAACTGAAATTTTAAAGTCACTGGAATAAGGCCATAAAACACATACAGAACATTTGTTCACAAGACTTTTGAGATCTGGATATTGAAGTCTAGAGTTTTTACTTCAAAATGATGTGAAAACCATCTTGTTTACTCGCTCACAGAAAACAATATATTGATTTACATTTTCTAAGATACTTTTTGTGTAGAAAAGGTATATGCGAGTGGGCGTGAATGATCATGCATAATGCTGTGATTCACACCTGAGAAGACAAAAGCCCGCATAATGAGCTGCATAATGAGCCTTTCAGTCAGTTTTGCGACAGAAAGAATTGCTACAAGAAAGAATGTGAGGAAAAAGAAATGTGTATATATATTTTTTTGTTTGTAGTTTATTTAGAATATATATAACTATCACATAAAATACCTTGAGATTCACTTGTGAGTGCAGTTAAACAGTTTATTGGGGGGAAAAAACATGCTAACAAATGCTAGCTTGGTAAATTTCTTGCCAATCAAGTATTCACTATCACTACTTTCTATAATTAAGGTAGTTGGTACATTATCAGTGTAATGAGGCCAGCTGGTAGGTGATGTGCAGGTGAACCTCACTCCCCTGATCTCAAGAGGCGCACTAGCAACTAGGCTGCGGTCTTTAGCCTCCTTGTTATTGTGCCCGACTCCCATGCCGGTGACCAGTGTTCAAGTCCCGCTCAGAATGGGTGCGAGTAGTACGAGGGTTACATTAGCGGGTGCGAGGGTTACATTAACAGTTGCAGTTCAACGAATATCACTTTACATCTCTATGATGATTGGCTGATATACTAATACTGTTGATAGTGAAATAATGGTGATTGGCTATTTTTACCAACAAAGGCAAAGTCTTTGGATATGAATTTGCCTCTCCCTCCCCTTCTCTATCCCTTCAAACTCGTTTTCTGAACGACTGTAATTACATCAGCAGATTCGGCATATACAGTGAAGAGCAGCGGTGATTTCAACTTAAGTTCTGTCATGACAATTCTCTGAGAGTTTAGCATGGTAATATATATGGTGATGTTAATGTGTTTGGTCTTGGCGGACTAGATCTGCTACGCTGCTTCTGCGGCAGAGCAAGTACCGAGATTTGCTACTGCCAGTGCATCCACAGACATGCTGCTGTGAGAAATACTGCTGCTGCACATATAACATAGATTAAATAACCCCCATGTATAACATACATGAAATCACCCAGTTGCAGATCTATACAGGTGGAGCCGGGGAAGGTTGAGGGCGCTGCAACTGCTACTGCAAGCACTAGCACAGTATTTGAATGCGGTTGGACTGCACCATCTAGAGTTTCGTGACAGAACTTTTTATTAATATTTTACAGTGGTGAAATTGCAATCAAGAAATACACATTCTGAGACAGGAAATGAAATGAATAAATGAAAATTATATTTTATTTCATCCTTTTCCCATTTTCCCCCCAAATGTTTTTTTTCTGGAGACTGTGCCTCCCTTTCCTCCCCTGACGAACTGCTACACAAATGTCTGAATTTAATAGTTAAATCTACAAGTGAAAATATACTCAACATATGTATATGAAACAACTGCACAGAAAGTATTGTTTATTTAAATGTTCATTTATTGATATTTGTTAACTGTATATCTATTTTTTTTAAGACTACAGGTTATGTTCTGGCTATTTTCTTCTGCATCATAGCAGTGATTATTGTGAGTTATGACTGCTACAAAAATGGAAAATCAACGTGCTGTGGAAGTACAGATCCAGAGAGCCAGAGTCATGGACGGCAAGGTCCAGGTACTGAGAATCAGCCAGAGCAACGCAATGACAACCCTAAGATAAACAACGCTGAAAATGCAACCGAGCATGACAGACTCATGAGGACAGGAGTTATAACACCGCCTTGTGAGTGACAGTATCAGTGACATCAAATGCCATCAGATTTTGTGTGCGTTGTGACCTTACAAAATTTGGTTGTATCTTTTTGAGTGAGATTTGTAGTGGAAAATATTACTCCCTTTCTCACAAAAGGTATGGCACACAGCACAAGTGTACTGATTTTTTCTTTTGTATTTTTATAAATTTTTATGAAAGATGCTTTGCAAGCTGCATAAAGAAATTATTAATATAGTTCATAGAGGTTTGCATGTTACATTTAAATTAAATTCCAAAGATTAATTCCCTGTTTGTGATTTTATTTTATTTTTTAATTGAGAGAATTTTTTTTATTATTGTCTTATTTATTTGTATTTTTTTTGGCTAATTGATTGTTTGATGTTTTTTTAAATGAATATGTATAAAACATCTCAGTGCTTATCAAATGTTAAAAGGTGTTTATTTGTTAATTTTGATATGATACTTAAAAAAAAAAACGTTTACATGCTGTTTACAATTACCTAAACAAATGTACAATTTTAAATTTGACAGCTTTTCTTCTTGTGTTTGGATTTGAATGATTTTTTCAGGTTCATTTTGGTGGTCAATCTACATCAGCAACAGCGATATATTTTATACAGAATCCTCCAGACCAACTATTGATTACCAATTAGGAATAATAATTTAATATGAGTGTTGGTTTTGATTTTGTTGAAAATCTTTTGAATTTTAAGATAAAAATATCTTGTACTCACATTTCTCTATTTTTCTGCATTTCACTTCCGATCTAGCTTTCTCTTGAAATGTGGCATTGCAGTATTGTGAGTAGTGCTATATAATTGCTCATGATAAGCCTCATTTCAAGGATAAAACCATCTGACTAAATGTAAATGTAAATAGAGGATGTATAATATATTATGTAGTATATGGAATATATTATATTCCATTTTTAAGAATTTTAGTGTAAAGATCTGGCTTATGACATGTTGCCATTATGTATTATAATGATGCTTGTTTTCTTTTTGTTGGCCAAACAAGATCAAAATTACTTCTGATGAATGTCACTGAATTTAGTTCAATGGAACATGTCTGCATTATCCTAACAAAGTGTTCTCAAAAAGAAAGTTGCATGAGTAGCCCATTGTTTCCATTGTCCCTTTCATGTTCCCTGTCTTATTGTTTATGATCAATGTAAACAGATCCTTTTAAGTATTTAAAAATAAAGATATAAAGTGACATATTAGAGATCTGGGCCCTTATTCACAAAACATTTTATCTTACCACTAAGAGTTCTCCTAAATAGCAGTAAAAGATTTTAGCTAAGAGTTTTCTCTTTAAACCTATTCACAAAGCTGCTGAGACAAACATTTAGTAAGGAATAGAGAGAAGTCTTAAGCTAAGAGTAAGGGCGGGGTTGACCTCGTTGCTATGAATGATGTCAGCATGCTTACTAACTATGCACACAGTGATTGGCTGATATGGGAGGAGTCTCTGTCAGAGATTTATTCATAGAAATATCGTAGAGCGCGATATTATGTTGCCATATTCAATTAAAGGTTTAAAAATAAAAATGTTAAATGCTACTTTCAAATAAAGATTTTAAAATGTAGGCTAAGTGTCACTAATTAAACAATATAATATATATGTATATGGTTCAGCTGCTTGTCAGCCTGTATGCTTCTCGTAAAAAAAATGAGTGAATTTGCATATAAACAGAGTAGAATAATCATGGCTGAGAGTAAGAAATGCAAACGTAAAAGAAAACCAAATGGGACGCAAAAACAGCTGTTACTTCATCTTACCCAACTGGTTAGTGAAAACAAGGATATAATCAAAGGAAAATTTGGAGTTGGGCTAACCACCAAAAACCAAAGGTGATACCTTTTTTAAAAGCACATTGTCAAACGTTTCTAAAATGTTTACGTTCCGAGGCAGATTGACGGCAGCAGCCATTTTAGGATAGTTTGTGGCTTGGTCTTAGTGACTTAGGAGTCATCTTCATTACTCCTAACGTTTCACAGATTTAGGAGCTTGTTTTAGTGCTACAACGCTTTGTGAAATACTCTTAGAGCTAAATTTAGGACTGATACGCCCATTATTTTTAAGAGATTCTTCTTGAAGCATATTGGAGACGTTGCCACAGTTCTTCTGGATTGAGTCTGTCTCAGTTTGTTCTGTTTCTTCATGTCATTCCAGACAGACTGGATGATGATCAGATCAGATCTCTGTGTGGAGCAAACAAAAATATCATTGGATTATTACAATTAAAGGGATACTCCACCCCAAAATGAAAATGTTGTCATTAATCACTTACCCCCATGTCGTTCCAAACCCGTAAAAGCTTTGTTTGTCTTCGGAAGACAATTTAAGATATTTTGGATGAAATCCGGGAGGCTAGTGACTGTCCCATTGACTGCCAAGTAAATTGCACTGTTGAGGTTCAGAAAAGTATGAGAGACATCGTCAGAAAAGTCCATCTGCCATCAGTGGTTCAATCTGAATTTTATGAAGCGACGAGAATACTTTTTTCTGTGCAAAGAAAATGAATTTTAGTGTAAAGATCTGGCTTATGACATGTTGCCATTATGTATTATAATGATGCTTGTTTTCTTTTTGTTGGCCAAACAAGATCAAAATTACTTCTGATGAATGTCACTGAATTTAGTTCAATGGAACATGTCTGCATTATCCTAACAAAGTGTTCTCAAAAAGAAAGTTGCATGAGTAGCCCATTGTTTCCATTGTCCCTTTCATGTTCCCTGTCTTATTGTTTATGATCAATGTAAACAGATCCTTTTAAGTATTTAAAAATAAAGATATAAAGTGACATATTAGAGATCTGGGCCCTTATTCACAAAACATTTTATCTTACCACTAAGAGTTCTCCTAAATAGCAGTAAAAGATTTTAGCTAAGAGTTTTCTCTTTAAACCTATTCACAAAGCTGCTGAGACAAACATTTAGTAAGGAATAGAGAGAAGTCTTAAGCTAAGAGTAAGGGCGGGGTTGACCTCGTTGCTATGAATGATGTCAGCATGCTTACTAACTATGCACACAGTGATTGGCTGATATGGGAGGAGTCTCTGTCAGAGATTTATTCATAGAAATATCGTAGAGCGCGATATTATGTTGCCATATTCAATTAAAGGTTTAAAAATAAAAATGTTAAATGCTACTTTCAAATAAAGATTTTAAAATGTAGGCTAAGTGTCACTAATTAAACAATATAATATATATGTATATGGTTCAGCTGCTTGTCAGCCTGTATGCTTCTCGTAAAAAAAATGAGTGAATTTGCATATAAACAGAGTAGAATAATCATGGCTGAGAGTAAGAAATGCAAACGTAAAAGAAAACCAAATGGGACGCAAAAACAGCTGTTACTTCATCTTACCCAACTGGTTAGTGAAAACAAGGATATAATCAAAGGAAAATTTGGAGTTGGGCTAACCACCAAAAACCAAAGGTGATACCTTTTTTAAAAGCACATTGTCAAACGTTTCTAAAATGTTTACGTTCCGAGGCAGATTGACGGCAGCAGCCATTTTAGGATAGTTTGTGGCTTGGTCTTAGTGACTTAGGAGTCATCTTCATTACTCCTAACGTTTCACAGATTTAGGAGCTTGTTTTAGTGCTACAACGCTTTGTGAAATACTCTTAGAGCTAAATTTAGGACTGATACGCCCATTATTTTTAAGAGATTCTTCTTGAAGCATATTGGAGACGTTGCCACAGTTCTTCTGGATTGAGTCTGTCTCAGTTTGTTCTGTTTCTTCATGTCATTCCAGACAGACTGGATGATGATCAGATCAGATCTCTGTGTGGAGCAAACAAAAATATCATTGGATTATTACAATTAAAGGGATACTCCACCCCAAAATGAAAATGTTGTCATTAATCACTTACCCCCATGTCGTTCCAAACCCGTAAAAGCTTTGTTTGTCTTCGGAAGACAATTTAAGATATTTTGGATGAAATCCGGGAGGCTAGTGACTGTCCCATTGACTGCCAAGTAAATTGCACTGTTGAGGTTCAGAAAAGTATGAGAGACATCGTCAGAAAAGTCCATCTGCCATCAGTGGTTCAATCTGAATTTTATGAAGCGACGAGAATACTTTTTTCTGTGCAAAGAAAATAAAAACAACGACTTTATTCAACAATTCGTCTCCTCTATGTCAGCGTAGCACCATTTTGGAGAATATACGCTCGACGCAAATAGCATATGTTGTTCGTTTCATTTTGTTTTTTGTCATTTCGTATGTAATTTCATTTCACTGATGGCAGATGGACTATTCTGACGAGGCCTATGAATAGTTTAAAAATAATATAAATGTTCTAAATGAGTTGTTTATTTGTATATAATATAGATTAATGCTGTAAAATATTAAAATAAATGTCTAATACTTATAGAGGAGAGTGGGCTAAAATTTGCCATTTTTTACTTATGTGGTCCTCAAGGGAATATGATGCAGAAATACAAAGAAAGTATCTATTCTATCCTATCCTATCCTAATGAAAGTATTCCCATCATTTTGAATGATCAGAATGATCATTGACAAAGGGTTCTAAAAATATGGCTTATAAAAAAAGGGTTCTCATGGCTCAGTTTGCCCCGGGTTTGGGGTAAGTTGACCCGAGTCGAGTCAGTGGGTAAGATGGCCAAAATCTGATTCAAACCCATGTGAAATAAATTTCAATTTAACAACTAATTTAATAATTTCCTTTTAAAAACAGTCATATTTATTTTCACAAAGTTAACTTTAGTAACATAAAACCAACCAAATGAAGTTTAAATTTCAATATTTAATTGTTTGCATTTCTGATACAATATGTTGAACACCAAAGTTGTAACCTTCCCAAAAACAGACTATACAGAGAGTTTGTTGGCCATTGACTACAGGTGGAAAGATATATCTGATTATAATGTGATGAAAAGCATTTTCTGGTTCTTATCAGATAAGGATTTGGTGCACTTGTGCACTGTCCCTATCAAATAAACTACAAATAATATGTATATAAATATATATATATGATAAACTAAACCAGTAATATCACATTAAAACACCAGTTTATAATTCAGAGATTTAACAACAGTGCCTTATGGTGG